TTAATATTTATTTTCAAACCAAAAAAAAAGAAAAAATTAATAAAATTAACAATTAAAATATAAAAATTTTGGAATTAAATACAAATTACTCAATGATGAGATTCTTAAAAATTTCAGATGATAAATTCTTATGAAATCTCTAGATGAGAAATTTTTTTTAGATTTATCCCAAATGGTGAAATAATTTAGATGGAATTTCAATACAAGTAATTGTATTCTTTTCCAAATAAAATTTTGGTTGAAAATATGTGATAATTGTCCAATGATGAGATTCTTAGAAATTTCAAATAGTAAATTCTTAAGAAATCTCTAGGTGAGAAATTTTCTCTAGATTTGTCCTAAATGATGGAATAATTTAGATGAAGTTTCAATAAAAATAATTTTCATATTATTTTCTTTCTAAAAAATATAATATAAAATAAAAAAAATTTCTAAATAGACCCAAATGGTGGAGAATTTAGAAATTCAAAACAAGAAAATATTTTTAATTTGACCCAAATGATGGAATAATTAGATATATTTTCAACAAAAAAAATAATAAACCTTTTTCCGACGATGGAGCCTCTTCAAGGAAACAAATAGGATCCTTGAATACTCTTGAGTTGAGAAAATATTTTTAAGAATTCTACCAGATTGATAGAAGAATCTTATAAATTATTTCTAATATTTTAACATAAAATTTTGAAACAATTAAACTCAAGACCTTAGGATAAATTTGAAAAAATATGGTACCATCCTTTGGCATGTGGGGGTGCTATAACCTTCTCCATATGTAACCGAACTTTCGAACCCTATTCTGGTTTGTAGACCTAAACTTATTCTTTTAAGGACCCTTAGTCGAACTTAAGAGCTCTTTAAAAGGATAGATTTCTTAGGTGGCCAATCACATCTAGATAAAAAAAATTAGTGAACACTCCATCCATTTTGTTAAGTCTAACTATAAATTTATGAATTTATATGTTATGACAATGCCTATACACACCATTAAGTTGCACTCTAGAGTCTAGGCTAGGATTAAACTAGAATAATTGTGGAATATGTGATAAAAGTTTTCATTGCATATGCCTGTAGCGCCATTAGTGTGTAAACATTAAAACATATATTAAATTATCCGTAATTTAAATTTTTAAAATTATTAAAATTAAATAAAAAATTATATATTTATTTTATTTTTAAAATTAGATTATCTAAACAATATTAAAATGTACCATTTACTAATATAGATGCAAGACCCGAATTATCATATTAAATTAATATTCTTTTTAAAATTATATTAAAATCTTCAAAATTTATAAGACATAAAATTTATATATTTGACTAACTTGTCATAAAAAATAAATTTAAAAAAAAAAAAGAAAAAAATGATGTCTTCACTTTGTACAATCTTAATTTGCAATAAAATGTGTTACGTATAATTTATATTTACCCAAATTTAAAAACAAAGAAAGAGACTTTACTGTGATAAGATAAAAATCCAATTATGCATGAAAATGTAATGTAATACAATAAAAAGAGTCAAAAGTAAACTTAAACTAAATTTTGCTGATCGAAAGAAGAGTCAAAGATAAAGATAAAAGGCTATGAACAACACCTACAAAATATAATAATAAATGTTACTATAATTTTATACTTAATTTGTAATATATAAAAAAAAATTAAACTTAAAACAAATGACTTGTCGTAAATATTTACAAAAGAAAAAAAAATACTTATATAACTTACACACTTTGTAAAACATGAACAAAAAGAGCTGTAAATAAAGGTGGAGAACTAAACACTAAATAAAATTTATGTTAAATAATGACTTATTTTTAAAAGATAAATATTATATAAATTATTAAAAGATTAAATTTTATCTTTTTGAATAATAAAAGATTATTATAAAATATATTACGATAAAACTAAATTTGATATTTTTAAATTTATAAGATAGATAACTGGATATCTAAATTATTAAAAAATTAATTTTAAAAGGTAAAAGGTACATATTTAAATTATATATATCTAAAGTATTAGAAAATTAATTTTGGATAACTAATAAATTTTTAATACTTTTATTTATTTGATAAATACCACATAATTATTAGTAAATTAATTTTAGAAGATAAAAAAGATATATATTTAAATTTTATACAAATTATTAGAAAATTAATTTTGGATAACTTATAATTTTTAAATATTTTTATTTATTGGATTAATTTTAAAAGATAAAAATATATATTTAAATTTATATATAAATGATTAGAAAATTAATTTTGGATAACTAGTAATTTTAAATCTTTTATTTATTTGATAAATAACATAAAATTATTAGAAAACTAATTTTATACGATAAAAGGATATATATTAGATTATATATATGTAAATTATTAAAGAATTAGTTTTGAATAACTAATAATTTTTAAATATTTTTAGTTAATTGATAAATACCATAAAATTAGAAATTACTTGCAACTGTAGTACCAGAAAATAAGATTGTATCTTATAAAAAATTTAGGTATGCATGTGGTATAAACAATGTATTCATGGAATTTTAGCTAGTGGATTTTTTAAAATAATTAATTTTTGTTTGTTTTTAGATTACAATAAAAAAGAAATTACCACAGGTGCGTTATGAGTAGATTTAAAATGATTGTAAGAAAAATAGAAATTAAAGCTAAATTAAGAGAAAAAAATTATATGATTGAATGAAAATTTAAAGGTAAAGATAAAAGGTCTATCAACAAAATATAAAGATAAATGTTATTATAATTTTGCACTTTATAATACATAAAAAAAATTAAAGTTAAAGACAAATGACTGTAAATACTTATAAAGATTAAAGAATCAAAGTTAAAGATAAATGATTATGTAACTTACTGTTTGTAATATAAGAAAAAGAATAGGCGGAAACAAAAGTGGAGAACTAAATATCAAATAAAGTTTATGTCAAAGAATGAATTATTTTTAAAAGATATATATAAATTATCAAGAGATTAAATTTGATCTTTTTGAATAATAAAATATTATTATGACATTTAAGATAAAACTAAATTTGATATTTTTAAATTTAAAAAGATATATGTAAATTATTAAAAAATTAATTTTAAAAGATGAAAGATATATATTTAAATTATATATATCTAAATTATTAGAAAATTAATTTTTGATAACTAATAATTTTCAAACACTTTTATTTATTTGATAAATACCCTAAAATTATTGGAAAATTAATTTTAGAAGATAAAATGATATATATTTAAATTATATTTATGTAAATTATTAGAAAATTAACTTTGGATGACTAATGATTTTTAAATATTTTTATTTATTTGATTAATTTTAAAAGATAAAATATATATCTGAATTATTAGAAAATTAATTTTGATTATATCTTTTTTAGATTTTTAATTAAAAAAAAATCTCTAAATTGATTTGGTTTACAATTATAATTTGAATAATTTTGATATTTGAATAAATTCAAAATTATATAATTTATAATTAAAAAAAGTTATACTTTTAAAAATCTATACTATGTGTCATCTAAAACAGTTATCAACATAGACGTTTATTAGATTATAATCCGTGCAATGTAAAAAATAATTTTACTTATTTAATATGATTATATATATAAATTAGTTTTTTTTTCAAAATTATATTCAAATCTTTAAAACTCATAGCATATATAAAATTTATATATATTAACTTATCGTTAAAAATTAAATTTTTTGAAAATAGTAAAAAAAAATTATGTCTTTCCTTTGGATATTTTTGTTTACAATAATATTTATGCACTTGTAAGATTATATCAAATAAAAATAAATTATATATTTCTTAAAAATATAGATATATATATATATATTCTTGAATGATAAATTAAATAATAAAAGAAGTATCAACATACTTTCACTTTAGTAATATTGACTAAATTATTATGCAAAATATGAAAAATGTTAGAAAATATGTGAAAGAAGAAAAAATAAATTGAAAAAAATATTATTTTTTATAAGAATGAAACTATAATAACAATATAATATATCTTGGAAAAAAGCTATAAACAAAAAAAAAATTGCAAGAGTAATAGACTATACCTTGAAATAAATTACTAATAAAATAAAATAAAATGATGTATAACACATTACATTTGTAGTTTTAAATTTGTAGAAAAATTTTTTAGTAGCAATTAAGATTGAATAGATAATTTTCAAATTTTCAAATGGATACAATAAGTGATAAAAAATATTAATTTTTTCGTATTTATTTGAAATATAAATTTAATAATTAAAGTTCAAATAGATATAATCATTTTGATGATCTTATTATTTAAAAATTTAAGATGAAAGTTTTTTGAATTTTCAAAATTTATATAGAGTTATTTGAATTTTTAATGTCTTACGAAAAATTTTAAGAGGATAATTTTTTAAATCAGGATAAGAAAGATTGTTGAAAGATTTGGATAAACTTAATTTTTGTAATTTTTAAACATGTTTGAAAAATTTTAATAATTAAATAATTTTATAAATAAAGTTATTTGGTAAACAATTAAAATTATTTATTAAAAAAATATTTCATATTTCATATTTTTAATTTTAAAAAGTATATTTCTAAATTGATTTGATTTTTAATTATAATTTGAATAATTTTGATATTTAAATAAATTTAAAATTATCTAATTTGTAATTAAAAAAATTATCTTAATCTTTTAAAAAACTATATGATGTGTCATTTAAGAGAGTTATCTATACGGACATTGATATGGTAAATTTATTTATATATGTTATTATAATATGAGGATATGATATGATATGATTTGAAAATAAATGAATAAAAGAATTCAATTATTAAAATTATTAAAATAATATTTTTTCAATTATTTTTCTACAATTCTGTCCGAATAAGTAACCAAAAAATTTAAAATATTTTAAAACATCAAAATTTTAATTATAATAAATTAAAAATTAAAAATTTTAATTTCTCAATAAAAATTGAAAACATATTTAATTTTTGTAAAGTTGAAGAATTTATATTATTAAATGGGTTCACGAATTCCTTTGCTAACCAAAAGAACAAAAGTTGTTATGCCATCTCATCAGAAATCAAACATCATCCAGTCCAGCGACTCAAACGGCATTTCTTGTTTTGTTTGCTAAAAGTAATGAAAGTGTGTGGTTCAACTGCTAGACCTGCCCACCTACATAGGAATTTCGCGTGCTCCGCGAAACGCTTCAATCAACCAACAACGCGTCCGACCCCAACCGATGCTTCTTGTTCTGATTAGATAACCTACTTGATGTCAAAACGACTCGGAAATTGATGGCTTTGAAATGTGTTGCTTTGTTGGGGTGGAGGAGTGAATATGAATATTCCTGGTGGAACCGGAACAAACCCTCTAAATCTAATTTGGCACCCGTTACCATTAGATGGTTTTCGCGTCAGAGGTCAATAAACTCCGTTCAAGGTGGCAAAGTAGCTGCTACTCATAACCACGGAAGGAAATTCCATAAGGATTTGACTTCTCTCCCAAGTGGGTATTTATATCTCTTTTACTTATTGATTTTGTTGAATTCATATTCTGAGCCTACTTGCTAGTTTGCTAGTATTCTCTTATTGCAGCTAGTAAAATTTTCCATTTTTTTTTAATTTTCTACTAAAAACAAAATTTAGTGTAGGTTCATCTGTTTAAGGCTCTCTGATTGTTCTCTGGGAATGGAATCTGGTGCATTTAACTAGCTTTGGATGAATGTTTGTGCGCTGCTATGTTACTTCCTTGCCTCTAGTTTAACTGGAAATGAACTAGCTTTCCATTTTTCTGTCATTCTCCCCCAAGATCCAAATGGAGAATTATGCTTGTTTAAATAATTTCTGTGAGTTTTACTTTGCTTTCTCCTTTACCATCTTTGTCAGATTCCCATATACTGTCTAATACCGTGCAATATCCTCGTTTGAACTTTCCCATCAATCGCAGAGCCGTTAACTGTTGCTGATTTATCAGTCACTCTTGATGATTCTTCAAAGGTGCGGATATCATTTAAGGTATGATGAGAATCACTTGCTTGTACTGCCCATAAAAGGATAAAAGGGAAATGCCAGTCAAAGAAACGCTTTTTCACTTTGACTATATTAATGGTGCAGGGGATGCTAGGTTCTTACAGCGAGGATGCTGCACTCAAAGCCTACCCTAAATGTGAAACAGTGCCATGTGATGAGTTTGAAGATGCATTTAAGGTTCGTTTGTTTGTTGTACGGGTCTGTAAAGGGTTTGAAAATCTATTTGTCACCGTTACATAATCCCCAATTTTACTGTAATGGCTATGATTTTCTGCTATTTACTCAATCCTGAATAAATAAATTCTTGTTGCAACTGTTAGGCGTCCAAACACCTATTTTTGGAAAACAAGAAATATTTTTGAGATGCAAATCTGTGCTTTTTTCTTTATTAGATTCCTGATGAAAAAGAATACATATGGGCAGGCAGTTGAATTATGGCTAGCTGAAAAGGCAGTTCTTCCCATTGAGAATTCTTCTGGTGGTAGCATCCATCGCAACTATGATTTACTCCTTCGTCATAGGCTCCATATTGTCGGTGAGGTGCAGCTGCCTGTTAATCTCTGCCTACTAGCTCTGCCGGGGGTCAGAATCGAGCAGTTGAAGCGTGTGTTAAGTCATCCCCAGGTTAGGCTTTCCTCACCAGGTCTCGACTCTTTTTTTTTATTAATTTTTTACTTGACTAGGCATATGTAAGACCTGCCTTCATGGTACAGTCAATCAATCTATAGCTCCATCCTCCTATTGTCTATGATATGATCACATTTTTCTGGTGCTGTAAGAGTAGCATATGTTCTCTATGTTGGTGACAGAACTCTTTGTCTCATTCAATGTGTCAAATAAAAATTTGAAGTTTTAATTTATAAAATTTACGTTCTTACATGCAGGCACTTGCCGTAAGTGACATTTTCCTGTGTAAGTTGGGTGTTCCCAGGGAAAATGTTGATGATACAGGTTTTGCCGCTCAGGTATTTCTTTTAGATGTCTTTTCTTTAATGTCTTGAATCTTGATACACCAACATCTATCTGGTTGCTTGTGACAGAATGTCTCTTCTTTCTCTGTTAACGTAACAGAGTATTTAACGTAAATCACTTTGCTTTAGTATGTAGCCTCAAATGGCTTGAGGGATGCTGCTGCTGTTGCGAGTATTAGAGCTGCAGAAGTCTATGGGCTTAATGTACTCGCTGAGAAAATTCAGGTATCTTTTCACCTCCTTTGTTCTTTATAGCTCTGATTAAAGTTATTAGAAGAGAAAAAAAAAACACAGTGTCTGGTTGATTTGATCATTCCTTCATTTCTTTACCTTGAAAAATATTATTGTTATTGTAGTAGTTTGTTAACGTAGAAAACAAGCTATCCAACCTATGCAAGAATATTAAATCAAAAAATTTACCATCATTTTTGAAGGTTGTGTGGAATTTCTAGTTTAGGTGGAAGTTCTTTTTTTTTTTTTTTTGAATACGCAAGTTTAGATAGAAGTTCATTTGATATAATTTGATATTTTCATGCTTATGACTTTGCCAATTGTCCCATATGTGCTCAATTATACTGAGAATTATTGTGGTTAATCAGAAATTCTACTTTCTTTGCTAAACTTTTGTGGGTTATGCAGGATGACTCTGACAATATCACTCGTTTTCTGGTACTTGCAAGGGATCCAATAATTCCAAGGACTGATAAGCCCTTTAAGGCAACTTTTCTTTTTCATCCTTATAACCTAGAATTACTTTATGTTCCCTCAAGAGTTCCCAGTTTCGAATATAACATTTCCTCATTCCAGACAAGCATTGTATTTACTTTGGAAGAAGGACCAGGTATATTGTTTAAAGCTTTGGCAGTGTTTGCACTGAGAGACATAAATTTGACAAAGGTATCTTCCAAGGTTGTTTGTCTATTTTACTCTGTGAGAGAGCCTTTGTTTTTACCATTTTTCTCTGCACAAATTTCAGATTGAAAGTAGGCCACAGAGAAAACGGCCATTAAGAGTTGTTGATGACTCAAACACTGGTGCTGCCAGGTGAGTATTATTTTGTTAGAATCAGTTCTATGACCATTATAAAAAACCTAAAAACGTTTTTCACTCTGGTGGATGTCCCGACAAAATAATTAAAAGAACTACAACTTGAACACAGAGCAGGCATTTTCTTCTCTTTCTTTTTTTTTTTTTTTTCCTGGAAAAAGTGGAAAAGACTTGTTTATTTGCGTGTGTTTTGTGCATAATATGCCATATCCCCTCAATATGCCAGAGTGATAACTCCATATTTAGAGCTATTATGATTATACCCTTATTCAAATTAAAACGATCACTGGTAAATAGAATGCCTTGTTTGGGAGCGAGCTGATCCTGTATATGAGGCTGTAGTGTTAACTAATTGACAGAGCCAAGTCCATTTTGCATGCATGAGTATAGTGGTGCCTGGATCAAATGATCAAGCACCTTTGTCGTTGTATTCTAGAATTCTTAGGACAAAGACTAGAAATTAAGAAGAGATAGTCCCAATCAACATACAGTTGCATAAATACATGTGCAACCTTGTCTTGTTTTTGTTTGACTGACCAGTTTATGGTTTTAGGTACTTTGACTATCTTTTCTATATCGATTTTGAAGCTTCTATGGCTGAGCCTCGTGCTCAAAATGCTTTGGGACATTTGCAGGTTTGGTTTCTCGTTTTTAACTATGCATATTTTGGCTGTTGTTATGCCATTGATTTCTAATTTACCAAAGTCTGTATATATCCTAGTACAAACTTTTAATTGCTGCTGTCAATTTGTCTTTTATTTTATGCAATGTTTTCTCATACTGTATTTGTTTATTGCTTGAGAAAGTAATCCTCAGTTCCTGCCTTCTCATTCGGAACATAACTGACTTCCTGATTAATATTCTTATTTTAAGAGGTCAAGAATATTGTATCAAAGGTTGCTTTACATGTTTTAGGAAATTATAAAAGTTGGATGGTCTAAGCGTAAGTGAAAATGAAGTGTCAACTTATTAATTTGTTACTGGTTTTTCTTTCAGTTTTATTTAATTCTTTATACTATAAAAATTTTATAGTTCATCATACATATAAGTTCATGTCTTTAGGGTCAATTTGGATGGGTGATGAGATTAATTGTAGTAAGATTAAAAGTAGCAGTAGCGGTGAAATTAGTTACTGTAATGATGAGATTAAAATTAGTGACAGAGTATGTATTTGAATGTAATCACAGTAGTGACGGTAAGGTAAAATATAGTGAAAATAAAAAATGACCATTAAAGACATTATATTAAAATTTATATAAAATAAAAAATTTAAATTATTCTATATTTATAAAATTAATAAATAATTAAAAATTACTAAAATTAGTTTTTATTTCAAATAATAATTTTGTTAATAAATATTTAAAAATTAATAAAATGATAATAATATATAAAAATAATTTTTTAAAAATTAATAATTATTTTTATTTAGAAAAAAATTTTTAAAATAAGAAAAATAAAAAATGAAAAGAAATGGAAAAACTTTTAAATACAAAAATGGACTAGATTAGATTAAATATATTTTCATTGCTACATCAAAATCTAATAAAAGAAAAAAAAAAAAAAAGACAATAGGGGCTAATTTGGAAAGATAGGGTCCACTGGTGGTGAGTTTTTTTCGCTGGAGCTTGAAGCACCAGTAAAATTTTAAAGTTGCCACACAGTGAACCTTCATTTCTACTACACCATTCATGTAAGCCAAATGCATTTTTTGGCACTATTCAATACAATTGACACTGGATTTCATGATAAACGCAGCTCCGTTTCAATTCAAATGCGGCCTTAATCGGAACAAATTATCTAATTCATATTTCCCCACAGAAGAGTTATGAAATTGTTTACCTTTCACTAACCTACTCAGAAGTCATGGCTATATCCTCTGATGCTGTATTACCAGGAAACCCATGATAGTACTGTGCACTAATATTTGAGCTTTGATAGTCACTTTGATGTGTTTGACAGTTATGATATATCATTATCTATCGATTTGATTGAAAGATTGGTGGTTCTTGGTCTTGAAGTCTCTTTAAGGATTACAATTCATTATTGCATTGCAGGAATTTGCAACATTTCTTAGGGTACTTGGTTGTTATCCCATGGACACGACTTTGTAGCTTTGTTATATGTACTCTTCCATATCCTCATCGTATGTGAGTTAGCAGTACGAAGTGCTTGTAAACCTTTTGGCATATTCTCTAATGATATGGTGTTATAGAATGCAAGTTTAAAGGTGATGATAGGGAATGTATTTTGAACTCAGGTCCCAATGGTAATATATAAAATGTTTAAAGTCATATTCAAGGTAGGATTTGAAATTCTTGGGTTCGTAGTCATATTTGAAATGCATACAATTAAATAAAGATTATAGCTTACATTAACAATTTCAAAACAAATTTCATCAATTGATCCATTTTGTTTTCTTCCTTTGGTCACAACTCACATGTTATGTTGACCAATTTGTCATTGTATTCATCACAGAGTCATTTCATTTGTCTTTTTCAAATCATCTTCTCAAGTTTCTTTCACTTCTTTCATCTTTGATTACTTTAAAAAAAAAATAAAAAAATTTCTTATGGACATTATCATTCACTTATTTATCATCATTTAATTTATAACAAATACGATACATTTCTTCAATTCATTCATGGGAAGCACATTTGGTAAAGAACAAGAAAATTAGGTATTCATTATCGAAAGAAAGTCTGGTCAAATAAATCAAAGATGAACAAAAGCAAAATGTTATAACTATTTTAAATGGGATATCAACATCCAGAATAATGACTATTTAGATAATTTTGAATTTCAACTCAAAATTTTTTTTTTAAAAACACATTCCATTGATATTTTCGATCTTTGAGTCAAACATTATATATATTATTAGGATCCTCAAATGAAGTTATTTTCTCGAGTCTCCATCTTTACTTAAACCACCCTTTCATGTTTTCATTTTAAGTCTTCTTTTTCCTTTTATTTTTTTTATTTTTTTATTTTTGGGTTTTTTTTTTTTTTTGTATATCTCCTATCTTATTCTTTTTAATTCCTTTCCCGTTGATCCATCAATGACATTGAAATCTCACGCAGTCCAATTGCAATCTTGCCTTAGTTTAACTTATGATTATTTAATTCGAGTATTCACATCCAATCAAAATGGACTTTTAAGGGACATAACGTAGGTTAGAGTGAAGGGTTATGAAAGAAATTAATAAAATAGGCCCAAACTATATTTGAAGGGTAATCAAACCAAAAGATCATTTTTTTTTCATGTAGAGCACCTTGACAATTTGTCTCATTAATTTTTTATTCTTTTTTTTATTCTTTTTTTTTGTACTTTTCATCAATTTTCAAGAACAAGTTGAACACAAAAAGGCTTTGCTCCTGAAATCACTAAGGATATTCACTTTTTTAAGCTTGTCAAACTTTGCCTCACAATGTGAGGGTGATCTTTGGTTAAGGTTTCTTGAAAGAAATTTTCAACAGATTCAAATAAGGTAGCAAAGAATAATATTACTCTTTGTGTGAAAGGTAGAAGAAAATTAGTTATTTCTCATATCAAATATGAATACTTTTAATAAAGAACATTTATTAACTAATAGCAAACTTATGAATAAATTATTACAAAGATCACATACTGCAGCACTTTTCTCTTTCAATAAGTGAAATTTTTTACCAAATTTATCTTTTTTTTTCCAATAATCCCAATGGATTAACAATATCAATTTATCAATCATATCAAAATCGAATCTTGAATTGTTGTTATGACTGTCTGAATAATAATTATTTGGAGTATGAGAATGGGTATAGGAAAATATGTGAAAAGGTAAAAGCATATAGTGGTGATTCACTCAAAAGAGGAAATGTCTTGCAAATGCATAATATCTGCCATTTTTATTAAAATGCTAAAAAATAAAATGAAATTCTAGTACATAAAAGAAATCATTATTCTGAAGAAATCCTAAAATAACAAGCAGTTTCAATCAGCCTTTTTGTATTCTTCTCAAAATTATGTCCTTAGGTGATTAGGCAAAATACCTTTATTGACTTTTAGCTCCTTTGATTTGTTGAAGCTCACTGAACTTACTCGGATCAAACTTTGTACTTTATGTTTGAAAGTAGGGCAGCTTTTTATAGAGTGACCTGCATATCCATTATGATAATCATAAATGGCATTAACATTGTATCATTGGGGACAGGGTGGCTTCAATGGTTTCAAATGAATTGGAGATACTAGGTCGTTCTTGACCAAGTATGTGAATAGCTCAGTATATGTTATAGAGATAGGATAATACGAGCTCTCTCTTGGTTGTCTCTAGATTTTTTTAAACCACTTGCTTGATTGTTAGGCCTTGAAATTGGTATAGTGACAAGACTAGGCCCATATGCATATATTTAAAAGGCTAGTTGATAAGGACTTAAGGAGATGATGTTCATAGTTAGGTAATGAGACGGGTAAGGGACTTGTGCAATATTAATAATTGTAAAGGTTGTAAGCAAAATGGACATGTGGTAGATATAGAACATAACTTTTGAATTGTTGCCTTTCAAAACTCACTACTTGAGCTTCAACATTTTTTTTTCGGCATCCCACATTTTTTGGTACCATTGGCTTGTCCTTCATTAAGCTTGCCACTCTTAATGGCATTTTCAATAATCTCCCTTGAAATCACCATATCAATAAAGTTATTTATTACGTTTTCTATCATCTTTTCATAATAGGGTGCCTTAAGAGTGCTTATGAACAAGACAATTATTTTTTTCTTAGTTAAAGTAGGTTGAACTTGAGAAGTTATATCCCTCCATCGTTAGGCATACTCTTTAAAAGATTCTATTAAATTTTTCTCCATGCTTTGTAAAAAAAACATGATCAAGAGCCAAGTCAATAATGTAACGATATTGATTAATAATTGCCTGGGCAAAATTTTTCCAAGAGTGGATATGGGTTCAGTCTAGCTGGATATACCACCTTGCAGTTAAATCAATAAAGCTATCTACATGCATCAACAATTTTGCATCATTGGTATAGGTAGCAATATTTTCAACAATACATGGTAATATGTGTGATAGGATATTTCATTTCATTATACTTTTCAAACTCAAGCACCTTGAATTTTAGAGGAATCAAAACATTTGGAACCAAGCAAAACCCAATAGCATCCATGGAGTTATAAAAGTCTATACCCACAACGGCCCTTAATCTCTTTTCTAGTAGGTTCATCTTTTGTTCATCCTTTCAAGTCTTTTAAACTTTCAACCACCTTTAATTTCAACTTCTCATCCTTTTTTAGTTCATCTAGGTTGGGAACTTAAATTGGTTCAATTATCTTTTTTATGAATACAAGATTAACAAAGGTTTGAAACTACCTTTGAGTCAATGCAGTAGACATTTCAGGATAAGTATATCAGGCAAAAAGTGTAAATTGATGTAGAGGAATGTCTTGGGTGGACTGTGCCTATTATGAGCCATAGCTATGAAGACACAAAGGGTTAACAACATCTTGTAATGGATGGTCTTGGGGTTGGCTTTTTCCCCAGCCTATCCCTTATTCTTCTTATTTAATGTCTCTAAGATCCTAGTTAGCTTCCTTTTAATTTTTTCTTGAGCCCTCTCAACTTTTTAACACGGCTTGTATTGTCTTGCTCCATTTTTTTGGCTTAGACTCAGGTGTTATACTGATGGTGAATTGGTCAAGTTATCCTTAAACCTTGATATACCACAATTAGGGTGCATAGAATGAGGTTCATGAAACCATCCAATTATGCATGAGAATGAATGCAAAATGCTTGAATGCAATAAGGAGAATTTACTTCATAACAACTGTTAACAAAGAAAATCTTTATTGAATTATAAGTTATTTCTAACCAAATCCAGTATTACATCTATGAAAAGTCTAAAGTTTATTAAGAAAAATTTTTTAAATTTATCGATATTGGCTTTGCATTTCATTAAAAAAATCTAACAGTTTTTTACCATGTACGCCTACTAGTGGCACCTTTATCTTCCATTCTTCAACATTTCTACCATATCATCAGCTTTGTAAGTAGTCACAATGATTTGGTCAAGCAAGGGCTCCAACTGGTTATGCTTTCTCGCATATGCTCCTTTTAGTTGCTTACATTCTTTCCTCATAGCCCCTATTGTGTTTCAATTTCAACCACAATCCTATTCAACATTTGGATGTGCCTTTATGCCTCGAAAGTGCCTCATCTCTTTCTTGTAACTTTGCATACAACTATC